AAGAAGAAAGATGCAGATTCTTACTATCTCAGATTCCCAGGGCACCACCCCCACAGATCCTCACTCTATAGGTCAGGCTGCCACAGACTACGTCACCACACTTTACACAGCATCCCCCACTGAAGATATGGATGATATCCTGCAAAATATCCCAAAAATCCTAGATGATACTGATAATGAAAGTCTTGGCCACTTACCAGATATGGAGGAAATCAAACAAGCGGTTTGGAACCTCAATAAAAATGGTGCAGCATGCCCTGATGGTTTTAATGCTAAGTTCTTTAGATCGTGTTGGTCAATTATAAAGAATGATGTTCTTCTGGCAGTTCAAGACTTTTTTCAAGGCAACTCTATTCCTATGGCCATGTCTAGCTCTCTGATTGTACTTATCCCTAAAAGAGACCACCCAAAATCATTCTCTGACATAGACCTATTTGCCTCTCATCATTCATCATCAAGGTTTGCTCTAAAGTTTTAGCTGACAGATTAAAGTTCTATCTTCCTAATCTCATTTCCAGTGAGCAAATTGGTTTCTTGAAAGAAAAAGAAATTGCAGAACATTTTCTCTTGGCTCAAGAATTAACGCATGCTATTGACAAAAAGGTCAGAGGAGCAAACGTTATTATCAAACTAGATATGGCAAAAGCATTTGACATGCTTTCCTAGGATTTCCTAAAAGCTATTCTTCTAAGATTTGGATTTTCAGAATCCCTCACTAGCATTATTATGAATAATCTTCATGCCACCTTCCTTTCCATCATTCTTAATGGCAAACATCAAGGTTTCTTTAAACTGCAAAGAGGTGTCAAGCGAGGAGACCCCTTATCTCCTTACTTATTCATCTTAGCAGCTGAGGATTTTTCTAGAGGTCTGAATAATTTGGTCAAATTAGGGTGTGTTAAACCCTATCTGGTAGGCAGAGATGTACCTGTGATCACTCACCTAGGATATGCAGACGATCTACTTATCTTCCTCAACGAAGACTCTAGATCTATCTGTAACTTTCACAAGTTCCTTACCTCCTACCAAAAAGCTTCAGGTCAAGCTGTAAATCTCAATAAAAGCTCTTTCTTCACTGGCAAAGCTGTTTCTTCTAGGTCCAACACAATGGAGAATCTATTGGGCATGAAATGCAGTCAACTACCCTTCAAATACTTGGGTTGTTACCTGCACAAAGGTAATAATCGACTAAAATACTGCAAAGAGCTTATCTCTACTTTTGACAAGAAACTAAATCAATGGCAGGCCAAAAATCTCAGTCAAGGGGGGAGACTAATTCTTATTAAGCATGTCCTTTCATCAACCCCACTCCACATCATGGCTGCATACACCCTACCTAAGAAGGTAATCAACATTCTTGAAAAAAAATGGCTAGCTTCTTTTGGGGCTCTAGGCAAAAGGCTGAAAAGACTCACTGAATTAAATGGCATGTTTAGGCCTACCGACTGAAGAAGGGGACTGGGCATTCGGCATTTCGGCTTCTCACTGATGTCGAAAAGGTTTTCACTCTCAAACTTTGGTGGAAATGGAAAAGAAATGGCACACTCTGGGCAAACTATATGCATAAAAAATACCCTAGGGGCCCCTCCACCCCTCCTCATATAGTTGACTCCCCAATCTGTAAAAGAATATGTAGCATTGATATGATAGCATCTGAACTTACCTCTACTGACTCAGAGAATGATCTTATCTGGAATCCTAGCTCCGATGGTCAATTTTCCTTCTCCTCTGCCTTCAACACAGTTAGAACATCACAATCCACTGCTTTCAGCTACAAACATATCTGGCACCAAAACCAACATATGAAAGTTAAGATCTTTCTTTGGAAGCTCTTCAACTGCATACTACCTCTCCCTGAAAATCTACTCAGATTTCAATTGGTTGTCTACCCTACAATGTGCCCTTTTTGCAATCAAAGCTCAGCTGAGACAGACCACATCTTTTACGAGTGCTGTAAAATCCAACCTATATGGAACCTATTCATGGGCTACTTTGGTTTCTCTGTCCCTTCATATAATTGCTCTTTCAGACAAATTTTCATAATCTGGTGGCTACAAGCAGACAACAAATCTCTAATGGATGCATACATCAACAACATACCTGGAATCATTGCCTGGCATATCTGGAAGCAATACGCAGGGCTCACTTGGGACTCAAATTCCCATTGGTTCAACTCCGAAAAGATAATCAGCTGCATCAAACAATATTGTCAAGACTAGTCATGGGGCTTGAAGAAAAGATACAAACTAGAGCACATTCGATTCCTCAAAGAGATTGAACTTATCCATCCTACCTTCTCTACGCCCTACAAAATTAAACCGGTGCGATGGATCAAGCCTAAAGAAAATCTCAAAGTGAATGTAGATGCCTCTTTCATACCTGGTATTTCAAGGGGTGGCGCTATTCTCAGAAATCAATATGGCTCCTTTACTCTTGGTATCAGCTTCCCCATTCGGGCAAAAAATCCGTTACAGGCAGAAATCCAAGCTATCCTATTCACAGTCAACTGGCTATCCCAAAAAGGATACTCAGCATTCATCACCGAGTCCGACTCCCTTCTAGCCATATCCCAAATCAAGCACGGCTCAGTTGATGCTAGCAACCGACCAACAATTCAGGAACTCAGACTTTTGGCACTCAATCTCAACATTACATTCTCACACGTTTACAGACAAGGTAATGAGCCTGCCCACCTTCTTGCCTCTTGGAAGAACTCGGACAGTCCATTCAAATTATTCATCAATAAATTGGATCTTCCCTCTGAAATTAGACGTGCCTTGACAGCAGACGAGATGGAGCTTCCCTCTTTTCGTTTTTAATTGTTTACGATCTTTGGTTCTATCACCTGGACTTATCTCAATATATTTTATTACGAAGTATATTTTATGGGTTAGGCTTATGCCCTAATCTTATTTCCCCTTTTTATCTCAATAATAATCGGTAAGTGTTCCCTGTCAAAAAAAAACTTTACATGGACAAGGTAAATGATGGACTTTAATTCCAACTACGAGAGCTAAATTACGAAAGCAGATCAAATTTATGAAGCGTAAGACAATTTTTATTATTTAGGAGGCGGATCTCTTTTAAGGTATGTACGGGAAGTATTTATAGACCTAGAGTTACAGTCATTTAAGGAACGAAAACCAATGCATTTAATACATTGAGTTATGATAGGAGTCTTGTAACGTCTCGATTATGGTGCAATCATTGTTCCGCAAGGTCCACGTTTCTTCTGTTAGTTTCATGTCGCTGCTAGGTAACTATGCTTTGAACGATAGCCTGTCACATAAGCCCTAAGATGAATCCGACCTCACTGGAACCCCACCCAGGCTCGAGGTCTGCTGTCCATACCGACCTGGTTGTGGGTTTCTTTCGCGGGCTGAGATCCTAGTTAGGTCCAGCGGCTATTAGTAATTAATAATCTCGGGTAATGGGCTTACCTCAATTAATTCTTGAACCATGACAGCGATCCATGGTACCATCGGTAAATATAATTTATATAATGACATTTAAAAAAGATCATCAAGTAAAATACTCCATATGAGTACATGTAGATATGGAAATAGAGGAAGTAGTAATAAAAAAATCCATTTGTACACAAAATTGGTACATTTTTTGTGCACACTCCCCTTCGTTGCTTGGGTACACAAGTAACTTGATAGAGTATATAGACTCGGACCCCCGGGTCTCACGACTATTGGGCCCGGACAGCGGCCCACACACATCTTACGAATATCATTTGTATTATTGTACTGCTTATATGTCATTTGTATGTAACTATGTACTAGATTAGTCTTTTATGTAGTTGGGCTACCAGGCCCATATTAGCGGCCTGACCCATTATTTCCCTATTTATACTCCTCTTGGAGCCATTTGTAACCCTAGAATCATTATCACACAAACAATACCACTATTCATTCATCTTCTCCACATTCTTGAGCTCAAATCTCTCCTAATTATATATACTTGGATACCTATAATCCATCAATGGTGCTTTCATTGAGAGTTTGAGCAAATCAAGTGAGAAACCCTCCCAAAAAGATCACAAATTCATCCAAAATACAAAGAAATGAGCCAAAAATCAGTCTGAAAAAAGAAAAACAGACTGCAAATAAAAAAGAAATGGAAAAAGCATGGGCCTCTGGGATTTCTCAGACAGAGGCCGGAGACATCTCGCCGTCCTGGTCGCCGCCGCACGCCAACGGCAGAAGCTATAGTACCCAGGTCGGAGCCGAAGCCGTCATGCCCATCGTCTGCAGTTCGTTGTACCAAGTACGAGCTCCACAGCCTTGCCACGCCGCGCCTGGTCGCTTCGCCACCGCACGGGTCTCCGTCGCAGCTCAAACGTTCGAACCTAGGCCGCAGTTACCATCTTCACAGTCATTTGACAGAGTTGCTAGAGCTTGACCTTAAGCAATCGCCATTAATGGACGTTGAGAGCTCCAGGAGTAAAAGATCGGAAATCCACCGCTGAATCAACTTGAAGAGCCTATCGTGCGTCACCGGCGCTAAGGAAGCTTCGCCGACGCTACCAGGAGTGAGCCTTCTCCTGGCCAATTTTTCTCTGCTGCCGGATCTGCTTGGTGAAGTAGCAGTGTGCTACTTGGAATCTTGCCTGCCAACAAGCTGGCTCTTCCCTTCCGTGAAAGTTGATTCCCATCAACTAGGTCAATCCATTTTTGGAGTTGCCCAATAGAGTGATGACCCAATTCCTTTCATCAGCCCAAGCAGCCCATCATTTACTTCAGTCCAAGAAAAAGCTAAGTGCTCTCAAATTTCCTCCATTCAATTAGCAATTATATCACAAATTGATTCAAAAATTATTACAAAAAAAATCATAAATGAAATATTTTAATAATATAGCATCAAACTTCAATCTCGAGGGGCGAGTCATCCGTTAAAAGACCCTTAAATGCGCATGTCTGGCGGATCCCAGCTACGAACTTGAGTGACGAGTTGAGCTAGATTATTAATTTACTATCATTACTTTTGAAGACTTCCAAAAGGTCATAAATGAAATATTTTAATAATATAGTGTCAAACTTCAATCTCGAGGGGCGAGTCATCCGTGAAAAGACCCGTAAATAGCGTCTAGCGGATCCCAGCTACGAACTTGAGTGACAAGTTGAGCTAGATTATTAATTTACTATTTTTTTTAAATAGTGTGTATTTTTTGACATTGAAAAAACGGACTTATGAAATTCCGAGCACTCGCGTACACCGGACGAGCACACACACACTCGCGCCACCGGGTCACGTCAAACGAGTGTGGATAGTAAGCTCCCAATCCATATGTTATCTAATACATACTTTAGTTTCTATGTTTTGTATGAGTTATGTGTGCCTCTACCTATCGGAAATGAACTGCAATCCCTCAGCGGTAGGTTCAGTCCTTTATGCGTGTCATGCTCCAACTAAGCATAGAAACCTAGCTTGAGCTGCAGCTTGGAAATTTGAGGCAACTTAATTTAGGCCCAAATCCAATAGCAAATCATAAGCTCAAGAAATTATAACAATTTTATTTGAATGCATAGGTGTAACTATATGATGACATCATACCGGCCACCTAGCCGTCTCTCCTGGTCATCTTTATTTGATGGTTTGGACTTCTTACAGGCCCATCGGCCACATATCGCTCCGTCATCTTTATTTGATGACGTGAAGCCCATTTACAGGCCCATCGGCCACATATCGCTCTGTCATCTTTATTTGATGAAGTGAAGCTCATTTTCGGGCCCATCGGCCATATATCGCTCCGTCATCTTTATTTGATGAAGCGAAACTCATTTTCGGGCCCATCGGCAATATATCACTCTGTCGTCTTTATTTGGTGACGTGAAGCTCATTTACAGGCTCATCGGGCATATATCGCCTCGTCATCTTTATTTGATGACGCGAAGCTCTTATGCAGGCCCCTCGGCCGCACCATCACCCCGTCGTCTTTATTTGACGACGTGGAGCTCTTATGCAGGCCCCTCGGCCGCACCATCGCCCCGTCGTCTTTATTTGACGACGTGGAGCTCTTATGCAGGCCCCTCGGCCGCACCATCGCCCCGTCGTCTTTATTTGACGACGTGGAGCTCTTATGCAGGCCCCTAGGCCGCACCATCGCCTCGTCGTCTTTATTTGACGACGTGGAGCTCTTATGCAGGCCCCTCGGCCGCACCATCACCCCGTCGTCTTTATTTGACGACGTGGAGCTCTTATGCAGGCCCCCTGGCTGCACCATCGCCCCGTCGTCTTTATTTGACGACGTGGAGCTCTTATGCAGGCCCCTCGGCCACACCATCGCCCCGTCATCTTTATTTGACGACGTGGAGCTCTTATGCAGGCCGCTCGGCCGCACACATCGTCCAATCGTCTTTATTTGACGACGTGGAGCTCTATGCAGGTCCCTCGACCATACATCGCCTCGTCGTCCTTATTCGACAACGTGGAGCTCTCGTACAGGCCTCTCGGCCCATCGGCCTTACGTTCTGGTCATCTTTATTTGATGAACCAGACATCATATTGTGGACGGTCGCTCGACCCATCCCTTAGTCATCTTTATTTGATGACTAGGACTACTGATCATGATGAGCTACCCACATCTAGAGATCGGCCTCGACCATCCAGCAGACGGGCACCGTTGCAGCTCCATCTCCAGGCCGAAGGGTCCGCACCTTTTGTTTCATTTTGGGGGCATCCGGTGTACTCTTTTTCCCTCATTAGGATTTTTTCCCACAGGGTTTTTCCTAATGAGGTTTTTAACGAGGCATCTCCCCATCGTGGATCAAAAGGTGTCAACCCTCGGCCCCCTGTTGAAGACATCATCCGACACACATTACTCTACTCCACTTCACCTCATTACACTCGCCTCAAGGAGTGGGGGACTGGAAGAGCGGGGGACTTAGCGCCTCCGTTAACCAAAGAAGCAAAAATTCAAATTTTTGTTCATGAAGTTTACTCACCAGACGGCGACAGATCAGCACACAGTTCTACTCTCTTTCACCTCGAATACTCTCGACTCAGAGAGTGGGGGACTCCTGATAGAGTATATAGACTCGGACCCCCGGGTCTCACGACTATTGGGCCCGGACAGCGGCCCACACACATCTTACGAATATCATTTGTATTATTGTACTGCTTATATGTCATTTGTATGTAACTATGTACTAGATTAGTCTTTTATGTAGTTGGGCTACCAGGCCCATATTAGCGGCCTGACCCATTATTTCCCTATTTATACTCCTCTTGGAGCCATTTGTAACCCTAGAATCATTATCACACAAACAATACCACTATTCATTCATCTTCTCCACATTCTTGAGCTCAAATCTCTCCTAATTATATATACTTGGATACCTATAATCCATCATAACTCGTTTAAATATAGTAATTGTCTGTATACACATGTGATTGTACAAAAAAGTATATACTTTTTTGTGTACAACAACAATGGTTCATTAATAGAAAAAAAGAATGGTTCATTAATAAATGTGAGATTTGTAATTTTAGTCTTGTTGCATTCGACTTGATGGAGTATATGGCCCGGGGACCCCCGGCCCACATACTTCCACTACTGCAATTAGGCCCAACAGGCCCAGACGTGCCAAGCCCAACAAAATGAAGCTTTAAATAGCCCACAATACGCAAGGGGGTGCCTTCGGCTCCATGACCGAAGGCAACCGTTGACAGATTCGAGCTCAGAAACATCACAGGAGAACAAAGCTTGAAAACCAAGTACAAGCCCTCGGCACAAGGAGCCCCCCGGCAAATGAGAGCCTTGGGCCCATTACCCTTCAGCCGAAAGCACCTTCCTCGACAAAATATCATCTCCACATGCGCCTGGATCACCGTACCAAGTACAAACGTCACATCCAACCGGCGCATTTAATGCGGCCTCATGCGAATGCCGGTGCCACCCCGATTGACGTGACCCTCGGCCGTCGGATGCTTGACATATGCCTCTGTCCATCATTTATTGCTGCTATAAATAGCAACCCCTTTCCCCATTGTAAGGACACGCTGAATTCATATCGAATATACACTCTCTCTCTTATTTATTTGCTCTGACTTCTCTCTAGTTATTCCCGCAATAACCCCTCGGATAGATACCCCCGGGTACACTATCCATCACGACTGTTTTCATTATTATTCCTTAACTTTAGTCACTTACAAATTTGATCATGTAACTGATAAGATTTTACGAATTAAAGATTTTCACTACTAGAAAATGTTCTATTAGCTGCGGTTATTTTAGGGTAAATTACATTGTACAGCCGACTGTACGAAGAGCATGGTACATCCCGACATTTTTGTAATTAAGTCCAAGTTAGAGGTTGGTAGTTACGCTGCATCCTTTCTCTTAGTTTCTTTATTCCGGCGTTCAGCCTAGGGCTGTTAACGAACCGAGCTTTTATCGAACTATTCGAGTTCGAGCTCGGTTTCAAACCTAACGAGCCAAGCTTAACGGGCATTCGAACACGAACCCGAGCTGAATTTTAAGTTCAAAAAATTAATCGAGCCGAGCTCGAACATAGTCGTATTCGGATCAGTTCGAACTCGAGCCTATCGAACACCCTAAAATTATAAATATAATTAAAAGTTTAAATATAATTATTATTATTTTATGAAATTAAATATGATTATTAAAGAATCGAATACTTGTCGAACCATTCGAGCACGAGCTTATTAACGAGCATCACCTAAAATTTTGAATTCGAACATATTTATCAAGCTCATCGAGCGCTCAGATCGAACATGGAACGCCTATCGAGCCAAACACGAGCCTCATTTGTAAAGCTCACCGAGCTTCGAGCTCGAACCCGAACACCACTAATTCCTTATCGAGCCGAACTCGAGCTTTGGATGTTCGGGCTCGGCTCGGCTCGTTAACAGGGCTTCGGTCTGGCCACTTTCTTTGTTTTGACTTTTTACTTTCTTTTTTATTTTCTTTTTTCTTTTGGTGTTTTGTGCGTACGTTTTTTAGCTATGCTTATTTTAGCATTTACTTTGTTGTTTTCTATCTGTCTTTTTCTTTACTATTTTATTCAAGAACCTTTTGCTTTAACTTTTTATTCAATTATTATGAAAATGTATACATTAAAATATTAATAGAACCTTTCAAAAATATTATTACAATGTTCAAGTTTTTGTTTCTTTTTTCAATCAACCTTCTAACTTAATTTTTTTTAATTTTTGCATTATAAAGTATTTTAAATGTTAATATTGTACTCTTCTATTTTAAATTTTAAGATAAATATTTTTTAGTTATTAAATATTATGTCTTGATGAGTAACATGAGTTTTGTGATATGCTAAAATGAGTATAGAGTAAAATAAATATGCACCAACGAACATTTGAACACATTAGAGAATTCAAACGGAGCTTTTGAATTTTTCGATACTCATTTTGTAAGTTACGTATGTTCATCTGATACTGGTTTTATGCTCATTTTAAAATGTCATATTAATGCAGATATCATAAGTAAACATTATAAAAAGAACCTGATTATATTTGTAATTCAAGAATGAAAGACTATAAATTATTTTTAATATAAAATTACTATATTTTTTATTACTGTGTTACATTACAGAATTCGATTGAGCTTTTGAATTTTTCGATGCTCATTTTGTAAAGTACGTTTGTTCATTAAGTACTGGTTTTATGCTCATTTTTAAATGTCATATAAGTGTGAAGTAGATCATGATGCTCAATTGTATACTTTTGATACTCAATAGAGGAGGTTTGATGTTCAATGAACATGTTTTGATGTTCAACTAATTAACAAAGATTATGATTTTTATATCATTGCTCATTTGGAAACTAATGTATGCTCATTTTGTAATAGTGTTATACTCATTTTAAAATGGTATATCAATGTATATTTGAAAAGTATTATATTACATTACATTCACGTAGGAGTTGATTATAGATACAGGAGCATAGATCATGATACTCATTTGCATGTTTATAATCTTCAAAACATGATGTTTGATTCTCAATGAAAATGTCTTCAAGCTCGCTCCACTAGAAAAACTTATACTCATTTTATAAGTTAGTATACTCAATTGGTAGTCATGTTATACTCCTTTTTAAAATATCATATCAATGCATATTTCAAAAGTACCATATTATATTAGATTTGCATATTGATTGAAATTCATAGGAAATTACTATAGATATAGTTTAATGAGTTTTTATAAAAGAAAAAATAATAAAAAGAAAGTGAATTACAATATATGAATTTGATATCACAATACTCACTATTCGACTCTTAATGCTTAGTAGAATGCGTCTGATGCTCATTAAAAGTGTATTAATGCTCATCTAACGATAATCGCGATTTTCACTGAAATTATGAAAATGCCACCGTTTTTTAGTTGTGATATCAACTTTCTTGTAATAACATGATCCTCATTAAAATTGGACTAATGCTCATTAACAGTACACTAATGCTCATTTAGCAGAAATCACGATTTCACATTAATTACACAAATGCCACCGGCTGTACGGTTCTCACCGTACAGCCGGCTGTACGGTGGACGGACTCTTATTTTAGGCTATTTGTTGCGAATTTGAACTGTAGCAATTGCGGGAGCTGCAAAAAGTGGAAAATGCTAATTGCTGCTGTTCTGAACCGCAACAAATAGTAGTATATTTTTTATTTAATAAAACGTATTGCTGCGGTGATGGTACGACCGCAGCAATTATAGGAGTAGACTCGGGCCGGGCCAACCGGACCGGAACCGGACCGGCCCATTACTATGCAGGCCCGGACCGGCCCGGTGAACCGGTTGGTGCCCGGTTCGGGCCACCCAGCCCGATGAGGTAGGCGGTTCGGGCCCGGGCCTGCTAAATAGTGAACCGGCCCGGCCGGTTCGGGCCCAGTCCGGGCCAATTTATTTATTTTTTTTGAATTTTTTTTAAGTTTTTGGGTTGGGTTGGGTATGATGGGCCATTTGAGGTGGTTTGGGGTTAATTAGGAAAAGCCAAAAATAAAATAAAAAATAAAATGAACCAAGGCTCGGCCCGGCCCGGACCCGGGGTTACCCGGGCTGGTTCCGGGCCTCCCCTTTCATGAACCAAGGCCCGGCCGGGCCCAGGCCTGAACCGAGCCCAAACCGGAACCGGTCCGCCCCTAGCAGCAAATAATATAGATCAGCGGTAAACAGTACACTAATGCTCATTTAGCAGAAATCACGATTTCACATTAATTACAAAAATGCCATCGGCGGTGGACGGACTCTTATTTTAGGCTATTTGTTGCAAATTTGAACTGCAGCAATTGCGGGAGCTGCAAAAAGTGGAAAATGGTAATTGCTGCGGTTCTGAACCACAGCAAATAGTAGTATAATTTTTATTTAATAAGACGTATTGCTGGCTTGCTGCGATGATGGTACGACCGCAGCAAATAATATACTCCATCCGTCCCTTAAAACTTTGTCATCTTTTCATTTTGAGAGTTGGGACATCCCAAAAAACTTTGTCACTTTTCATTTTAATCAATTATTTTGTGGTTTATGTTATTTCTCTCTCCTCTGCACAAACCTCAACCACACACTTTTTACTTTATTATTTTTCATGTCGGTCAACTTTGACAAAGTTTTAAGGGACGAGGACGGAGGTAGTAGATCACCCACACAAAATTACACTACATACAATTACAAGAAACTTTTTGTAATAGAAGTTATCCACCGTATACAATTGCAAAATCTTACTTATCCAACGTCACTAAATACTACTCCATAGTACATCATGTCCAATACAAAACAATACTGACAAATAATTAATAGTAACAGTGATTCCATATTTATTCCTTGACTCCAAAAGCTGCCAGCTGAGCCACTGGAGGCTGCACATGTTATATACAGAGTAAAAGATAGTATTAGTATTTAAAGGCGTGGCAATAGAATTATAATGCTATTGATAAACATATAGTTTATATATTAAATCAACAATTTGATCCCACAATATAAGGATTGACCTACAAAAGACAATTTAATGAGTAAAATCGGATTCAATACTCGCATTGTCATACATTTAGCATGAGATAAAAGACACATACTGTTCAAAATAGGAAAACAGACTTTATTTGTGCTACTACATTTAAGTACTTATTTGACTGGATTAGCCTCATAATAAAATTGAAAATGTAAATAGTTGAAATGAAAATATGTGGAACTTTTATCTTAATCTTTTAAATACAAGTATTATTCATTCAATTAAAAAAAATCACTTGTAAAAAATCAACCCAAATTATCTAATTCTGCCACTACAGCTACAACATTAACAAATTCAACATACTTGCTCCGTCTTAATCACCATTACCAGATGGACTTCTAATTGATATAATCAACTCTCCTCATTTCTTCAATGAGAATATCACTGATGTCTAGATTGATTTAAAATGTTTGGTCTATAAAGCATTGTCTTTTTTATAGTTCCAAATTAGTATTGATATATTGTAATTTCCTTATTCATTTTTAGCTAGCATATTATTAGCCTTTATCCTTATGTTTTCTTCTAGAACGTCAATGCAAGAGCCTACTGATCTTCCTTCTGACATTACCTCTGTGAGCTTTGCTAGAGTATTGTCATGACGGCGCAAAATGAGTATGGTATTCAGTACAGCCCATCTCACTTGAGAATAAGTTTTTTTTTGTGTAAACCCCAGGCTTCGAAGTAGTGTGTCTAGCTGTCAGAACTCTTTTGTATTAGCCATTCACACCCCTGCATAAAATGACCAAAATTTTCCTAGCAAATGAATCAAGAAAATACTGCTTCACACTGGACACTTAGCCCTAGTTAGGGAAATACAAAAAACAATGTAAACCTGGTTAATATCTGCAAGTCCTCCCTCAACACATCCGAAAAGAAGATACTTTGTTGCTACACCTGCTAGAGCAATGCAAGCAAACTTGTTCAGCATCTGCCCAAAAAATGCACATTCAAGATCTTTCTGATCGGATAAAATAGATGATCATGAGCGATGCATAATAAGACATAGATAAAAAAAGCAATATATTTACTGTAGCTGAATTTTATGAAATTAAAGAATGATGATATGATGGATCGGTTCATGTTAACTGACCCCAAAATCTTTAGGGATTAAGGCTCGGATGTTGTTGTTGTAAAGAATGATGGTATCGGTGTCCATTCTCATTCAGTTCAACAACTTAAGCAACTGTAAACTCTCTGTGGTTCTTGTTACAGAGATAACAATCTGACAACAAGCTTTTATGCATTACAGAGATACATAATACATAATGATTTTAAAAAGGTGATAAGCATAACAATAAGTCCAGAATTAATGAGAGACATGCAATGAATATTAACCAAAAAAGATTTCTGTAGTAGTCTCTTAATCTAAAGAAAGACTCTACCTACCTATTTGTATAGACAAGAGAACAATTCAGCATTTTATATTTTGGTAAAAGCACAAAGTTCAACTTGCAGTTAACATGGAAAAACCCCTTGTGCTTTAGTTTTGACCAAGTGGCATTTGACCACAGTTCCTTCAAACATGAACTCTAGAATAGGGTTGTAAACGAATCAAATAATTTATGCTCGATTCGCGATTCGAATTCGTATAAGACAATTCACATTCGGAAAATTCAAATACAAATAAGAATATTAAATTTGATTCGAGTTGTTATCAAATACAAATAAGAATATCAGTGTATTCGATTTGAATATTAATCAAATATATTCGATTAATAGTAATTGTAATATTAATAGTAAAATTAATAATAATAGTAATAATATTATACGGAGTAATAACTTTTAGAAGATAGCAATACCCTCAAAGTGTAGCCCATATATACATTTATGCACACATATTCCAAGTTCATTTGTAATAAATCAGAATATAATTACGAACACAAATCAAATTTTTGGTTCAATTGTCTTTCAAATACAATACAAATAATTATGTATTCGATTTGAAAAAAATAATTAGAGCCATTCGACTTTGATATATACAATTATCAACTTATTTCACACATTATAAGTATAATTTCTGATCTGTGTGTTAGTGTTTATTTCAAAAGGTTTGAAATAGATTTATATTTATTAATCATAAAATTGATTCACTTTAGTATATTGTGGACAATCTAAAAATGCATTGATCCATTGAATTTTAATTCTAAAAACACATATTAAGTCTTAGCATGCATTTACAACATAAAAAAATATAAGAAAAGTTATTTTAAAGTGATGTTTGACTAATATTTAATCTATGCTTAAATCGATTCGATATTCGTATATGATTCGTTAACTATTCGTATTGTTAAACAAATACAAATCGAAATTAATATTCGTTTCATATTCGAATTCATATTCGATAAAATTAAACAAATAGTACCAAATACAAATACAAAATCCCGCTATTCGACTCGATTCATTTCGTTTACAATCCTACACTACAAATACCAATTGGTATAACCTCCGTCTCCCTCACCACCTCAATCCCAAATACACTTCGGTTGATGGCATGGAAGTTAGTGTCATTTAGCTAGCTATAATCTCTAAAAGATATTAAGTCAGGTGGACTTTGTATCACAACCTTCTAAAGAAGGAATAATTAAATGAAGATATTAAGTCAGGTGGACTTTGTATCACAACCTTCTAAAGAAGGAATAATTAAATGAAGATATTAAGTCAGGTGGACTTTGTATCACAAAAATTCTAGTAGTGTTCCGTGGCAGTGGCAGTCCTACCTAAACGTCCTACCTAAATTCGAGCCTGAGTCAAGATTCATAAAATGGGCCCTATAAATAGTATTTTGTTATCATATAGATTCATTAAAATATAATGACTAAATATCACAAAAACGAAAATTCTTAAATAAAAGTCTTACATTATAACAAAATGGCATTAAATGTATTAAAAAAACTTATTGAGTACAACTCATCGAAACACTTTTAGATGCAAAAGTACTAATCAAGTCCGCATATAATTTGATTAATTGTGAATTGAGAATTCCATAATTGCAATATTGATAAACCTAAATAAAAAACAAACAAGAATCAACTAGCATTTAAAAATTTAAAATTAACCCATTAGGCATTCAAACATGACAAATCAATTATATCACATCAACATTTAGCAAATTAATATAAAGTTAGAAAATTTCTGAAAATACAAAGATAACTAAATTATTAAAAATAACTAAAGAGTAAAGATTGAAGAAGCCAAAAAATAAAGGCGAATTTGTAATAGATGCAGAAATGCCCATTCATAAAAGGTGAATTTTACAAGAATAAACCCTACTTTTAGGGATTCTACAACAATAATCCATACTGAGAGGACCATAAAAATAATCAAACTAGCAATATTATTCACATGAATAAACTGAGGTGACTTCAAACTATTGATCACTCTTTTAAACTAGCCCTTTTACTACTCCCAATTCTTACATCCGCTTTCTCCTTGATCACTCTTCGTCGTGGATAACACTTTTATCTTACAACCTAGAGATAACCACATATGGTGGAAATGGCGTTGAGATTAAATGGTTTTTAGTTTGAATTAACCCTGAGAAGAAGTTTGGGGAAGAAAATGTTGGGAATAAGGGTTGGGAGTATTAAACGAAAATTACTTTGGATTCACCCTAATTTGTTCTTGTGGACAATATTGCTAGTTTGGATCATTTTTATTAATACTCTTGGTACGAGTTATTTTTGTAAAATCTCTAAAAGTATAGATTACTCTTATGAATATGGCTTTCATATAATTATTACATACTCGTATATTATTATTACGCCAATTGAAGTGTGGTTACTCGGATTAAAGGACGGTTTGCTAGGTTTTGGATCGAGCAGCCCGGTCCGGTCGGGTTATTTAAACATAGTTCAAACTTCAAAGAGAAGTGGTTACCCGCCCTCATTCTTCGTTTCATCATCGGCGCAGTTAGTTCTCTGACTCTGTCCATGACCAGTTGCTATTCCTTCCTATTCTCACGCCACCATTTCTATTTTTCAACCCTATTCTTATAATATACTCCCTATTTTTTTATTATTAAGGAGAAAGAAGAAGAAGAAAGAAAAATTTGCTACTCATTGCTGCATTTCTATCTATATATCATCTGTCTCTGATCTGATTCAACAAGCTAAGCTACAATTAATCACCAAATCTGCAAAAATGGCATCCGAAAAGGAAAGGGACACCCATGTTTACATGGCCAAGCTTTCCGAACAAGCAGAGCGTTATGAAGGTTCGATCTTATTTCGCTTTTAACACAATTATATTTCCTAATACAGATAGAAATTGAAATTCGGCCGGCTAGATGATCTGATAATGTATTTGATCCAGAAATGGTGGAGTACATGAAGAATGTAGCGAAACTGGATGTGGAGCTAACGGTGGAAGAGAGGAATTTGCTGTCAGTGGGTTATAAGAACGTCATCGGAGCGAGGAGAGCTTCCTGGAGGATCATGTCTTCGATAGAGCAAAAAGAAGAGTCGAAGAGCAACGAAAACAATGTGAAGCTGATCAAGGGTTACCGCGAGAAGGTAGAGGATGAACTGTCCAAGATCTGCCACCAGATTCTAGAAATCCTTGACCAGCACTTGATCCCGTCTTCCAAAACCGGAGAGGCCACTGTCTTTTACTACAAGATGTATGGCTTTCTTACCCTACCCCTTAATTATTCACATTGATTGATATAAATATAAAGTTATATACTAACATCTTTAGTTTTAGTCATTCTTTCCTATTTTTCATTTTTCTTTTAACAAACATATAGACATAAGACGTTGACACATTGTCCTCTGTTACAAAGATCTTGTGACGTTAATCCTTTTCATGCATGTCAAATACTCTCTATGTTGGAAAAACAAGCTGCCATTTTCTTATTTTGGCATTTCAAATTAAATTTCTTATTTTGCTTAAAAAGTACTCCTTAGTAATGATAATAGTTCTACAATTGTTACTTGAAAAGTCAAAACAAAAAATTATTTTGCATAAATATGTGGGTGGGTCAAAGCCTGAACTTATTTTGGGACGGGGGAGTATAAAAAATATACGGAGTAAAATCTAACATATGGAGTATAATACTTTTGAAACTCTTATAAAATCTGTGTGAGATACACAAGATTCGAGTGAAATGTTTATAGTACAAATGGGGAAAAGTAAACTGCACGTTATGTAGCACGGGAACTCTTGGGGAAGAGTACGTTTTTGTTTTGGAAACTCTACGGAAACTCTTTCGAGACTCTCCAAACAAGTGTTTTTTGGGAAAAAGTTGGCGTTTTCCATTTCCCATTTTCTCGTGATATTCGCGTTTCCGTGCAACATAGACTGCATGCGATTTTTCATTGCTTATGATTTTTACAAGGAAAATCTTTGGGATCAACAGGGTTGAAAGAGACCTTGACCTCCCTCTGAAGACTTTAACCTTTTTCCAGTAAATAGGTCTTTCAAACAATTCATTATAACAACACTCTCATATCTTGAGTAAACTTACTCAAAACCAACACTTATTTTGAACCCCACTTATTTTGAACCACACTACTTTTCATTGTGAACAAGTAGCTTGTAAAGTTTTATGAAGTCCCCTCAATACTTCAAGGACTGTGGAGAAGATGCCTCAAAAGTTGCTTCTCAAAAAGATAGTGTAATAAACTTGTAGGTTATTAAAGAATAAGTTAGGGAAATAATAGGAGTTCCTGAACTCTGACTTTGTATAGTAGCTAAAAGTGGAACTGAACACAAATGTGTACATCTTAATAGGTTGACCTTGTATGAAACCTTTAGTCTTAATATACGAAGTATGACTTATACTTTACACAACGGTGATGGATAAACATACGAACTAACATTTATAGATTTGGAATTTATAGTTTGCAAATCATTTTATTTTTCTGTTTCCTATATATATAGTCATTTTCTTCTATTACAAGGTCAATGAGCATCATGTTAAACATCTCACATCGGTTAAATGTAAATATTTGGCAGGAAAGGTGACTACTTCAGGTATTTGGCAGAGTTTAAAAGTGACCAAGAAAAGAAAGAGGCTGCTGATCAATCACTCAAGGGCTATGAGGCATTGACCGCATTGTTATTATTTTTCTTTAGTTATATATAGGATCATATATAAATACACACACACACACAATAACGTACTATAATGATATATGATCATATTACGTAATTCTAATGTGCAGGCAGCTTCAAGCATTGCTAGTGCAGAATTGGCTTCCACTCATCCAATCCGTCTTGGACTTGCTCTCAACTTCTCAGTTTTCTACTATGAAATTATGAACTCTCCCGAAAGGTTAGTTGCACTTGTATTGATCATTGCCATTCTTCATATCAGGCTTTTAATATGTATGTTAGTATGTATGCATGTATGTGTGTATGTATGTATCATGCATGCAGCATGCTTCAGCAAGCAATATATTGTCTTTTTATATAAACAACATGACATGATGCGTGTAGGGCATGTCACTTGGCTAAGCAGGCATTTGATGAGGCAATTGCAGAGTTGGACACTTTGAATGAGGAGTCGTATAAGGACAGCACCTTAATTATGCAGCTCCTGAGAGACAACCTCACCCTCTGGACTTCTGATATGCCTGAGGATGGAGGTAAATATATACCATCGCCGTCCCTATTTAATAATCTTGTTCAATCCAACTGAACTTTTTAAATATATCTTTTAAAGAAAGACTGAACTTTCATATCAGTCAAAGTCAAACATTTTTAACCGAAATAGAAACACCATGAAAAGAGGGAATATAATTTAGGGACAACAGAAGAAAAAGACTTGGTCCAGTTTGAAGACTGTTAGGAATGGCTTTATCTGTAGTAGTAAGTTAGTAACTTATATGCAGGTTGATTAATAATGTAAGGATGAGTTTTGCTCTGTAACTTTTAACTACATACGGTTTTTAAATATAACAATTGGCAAAATTAGTCGAAAGTAACTTCATATCAGTCAAAGCCAAACATTTTTAACCGAAATAGAAACACCATGAAAAGAGGGAATATAATTTAGGGACAACAGAAGAAAAAGACTTGGTCCAGTTTGAAGACTGTTAGGAATGGCTTTATCTGTAGTAGTAAGTTAGTAACTTATATGCAGGTTGATTAATAATGTAAGGATGAGTTTTGCTCTGTAACTTTTAACTACATACGGTTTTTAAATATAACAATTGGCAAAATTAGTCGAAAGTAACTTCATATCAGTCAAAGCCAAACATTTTTAACCGAAATAGAAACACCATGAAAAGAGGGAATATAATTTAGGGACAACAGAAGAAAAAGACTTGGTCCAGTTTGAAGACTGTTAGGAATGGCTTTATCTGTAGTAGTAAGTTAGTAACTTATATGCAGGTTGATTAATAATGTAAGGATGAGTTTTGCTCTGTAACTTTTAACTACATACGGTTTTTAAATATAACAATTGGCAAAATTAGTCGAAAGTAACTTCATATCAGTCAAAGCCAAACATTTTTAACCGAAATAGAAACACCATGAAAAGAGGGAATATAATTTAGGGACAACAGAAGAAAAAGACTTGGTCCAGTTTGAAGACTGTTAGGAATGGCTTTATCTGTAGTAGTAAGTTAGTAACTTATATGCAGGTTGATTAATAATGTAAGGATGAGTTTTGCTCTGTAACTTTTAACTACAAACGGTTTTTAAGTATAATAATTGGCAAAATTAGTTGAAAGTAACTTTATGTATTGTGTACAGGAGAAGATAGCTCCAAAGCTGAAGAAACGAAAGTGGATCAAGAAGCAATAAAGGGTCCACAACCAGAACTAGAAGTGAGTTTTTATTGTCATTAAATAGTGTGTTAACAATGTATTTGAATAATTCTATTATTGTGTTAGAATCTTCAAATAAGACTAATGTGCTCTCTCTGTCTTCCATTCGCAGGGCCGGTAATGGCAGAATCTAGGAAACTAGGATTATGCAGAAGAGTATTCTGACCATGCAAACAGTTCCTTCATTTTCTATTCCAGTAGTTCCAATTATTTTCCATTTTCTATTTACCACAAGAACAAAAAGCTGCATCATCTAAATTTATGGTCCTCTTTCATATCATAAATATTTATAAATGTACACATTCAAGAAACGCCCTGCTTTGATGTTAATTTGTTTTTATATATAAATAAAGAGCTAAAAAAACTAACTAGAATCAGGAATAAGCCAAAAGGGAGGTGGTGTAAATTTCTGCAGATCAAAATCAAGAAAATGCTCGAAAGTATTATCCTTCAAACAGAGAACTCCCATATCATGGCCTCCATACGAGTAATCCTCATCGACCCTGTCCCAATAATCATCCGTGAAGTAAATACAGTCAGGTTTGCAGTTCGGATGATCCGACCCGAGCAGAGAAACCGAATGGTTCCCTCCCAGAAACACCACCCGACCGTTCAAGGTTTTCACTGGCTCCCATGTTTCTGTCCACATGTCCAGCTTATAAACACGGAAGCCCATTGTTCTATAAGGACAGATCATCATATCCCCGTCTTCATACATAGCTTCCTCATATACAACTTTACCTTCCTCAGTAACAAACTCTCCAATGTGTCTAACCACAAAGAACATCTCTCCAGATTTGAAAGGGATTATATACCACTTTCTTGCGTAAAGATCTTCTGGGAATTCTTCCCTGTCATGAAACAACCCTCTGGGAAGTGGCGGATGGATGACTCCCTTTTTCTTTAAAGCAGAAGAATCCCATCTTTCAATTGATAATCTTTTCCCCAAAGCATACATCATACCATTCAAACAAGTGATGTCATAGTAGGGCCCACATTCGCCTCCTAAGTTCCTCCAATCCTTGTCCCCATTCCTGCAATATGCAACTTTATCATCTTCTCCATATAAAACAAAGACCACGAAATCTTTGTTTGCACTAGGATTTGCGGAAAGGACAGCTTTCTTGATGGAAAGAAGGGGCCTTTTGTCCTCCATGGGAGTGAAAACTCTTGCAGCAGAAGAACCTTTGTATTCGACGATCAGGTGTTCTTCTTCTTGGCCGGAGAAAGAATGAGTCTTGATGGAGGTGATGTGGGGAAAAGTGCTTTTCTTTGGGAGTTGGATTTTGGTTTGATCGAAGGGGTTCAGAAGAAAAGGTTCTGAGGTTTCGTCCAAGAGGATGAGCCATCCATAGGAGGAACCTATGGGAATGGTTTTCTTTAAGTTCTGGCGGACTACATTGTTATGCATGAATGAGGTTGTCTCCTCCAATGGAAGCAATAGAACTGGAGAAGAAGAACAGGCCAATGGTGCCATATTTTTATGGATTGAATAGGAAGAAGTTGTACGGGCGCGAATGCTGTATTTGTTAGGGACGGAGGGTTTATATAAGGTCAAGGAAAAAGAATTCCTCATCCAATTCAATTAGGATAGAGATAAGTCGTGGGGCTAGTAGGTTTCCTAATAATGTAAGAGCTTTTAATTGCAATCAAGGGAATCGGGGAAAAGCATAGATACGGAATGCATCTCTAACTGCAGGTTTCCTAATAATGTACGTAGTACCGCCGACTAAGGCGCAAGAGCTTTTATTACTACTACTCCCTTCATTCCAAAAAGATCGCGACCAAATTTACTTTTCTCGCTTAATTGTGATTAACTACTCAACTTTAATTGATGATATTTTTTAGAAATAATTCTTCAAATAAAACTAAATGCAACTTTAATTGTCAAAATAAGACCATAACTTAAAAATTTCCTAAATAAGACTAGATTTTCAATTCTACTCTTTCTTGAATGGAATTACGGAGGGATTAGGAATCCATATCAATACATTTATTTAGTTTATTTAGATACGTTTTTCAAATTCTAAGTTCATAATCCTATCGATCTATCCATATACTACGTAGGAGTGAAAACGAAAACATTTTGGAGTTACAAATACAAATAGAATTATGAAATACTTAGCACCACATCAAAACATTCTTACTAAAGCTTCTTTATATTTAATGTACTATGGGGATAGGTAGGGATGCTACTGTGCGGGCTCGGACCGGACCGGGACCGATTGGTCGGTTTGGGGCTTTTAGCCCGTTTGGGCGGGTCGGGCGGGCCGGGCTCGGGCCCAGTTTTGGGCGAACCGGCCCGGGCGGTTCAGGCCGGGTCCGGGTCAATTTTTTTTTTGTTTTTTCAATTTTTTTTCTTTTCCTAGGGTAGGGTGGGTGTTTTGGGGAGGTTTGGGGGTGGGGGTGAGGGGGGGGGGTCGGGGTGAGGGGGGGGGGGGGGTCGGGGGATAACAAGAAAGCAAAAAAAATAGACATTGAACCGGCCCCGGCCTGGACCCGGTATCAACCCGGGCCGGTTCCGGGCCCAAGGATTTGCAAAAAAAACCCGCCCGGGCCCGGCCTGGGTCCATTCCTAGGGATAGAGAAATGTATACAGTTCAATATAAGAAATTGAAAGGTTTTAATACCATTCGTATTTCATTAATAATTAAAATATAAAGTAAAAAATAGGGAAAGGGGGCAAATAAGCTCACGTACTAATCAAAAAAGGTCAAATAAGCCCTTGTATAAGAGGTTGTGTCCGGCCGTCGTCATTTGGGGCAGTTCTAGGTGGAATTTTTTGATGAATGTTTTGAGAATCTTATTCATTAAATCTAGTTTACTCATACCAAATTTAAGCTAACAATTCAATTGGGAGGACATTCAAATAAATTCTTGAAGATAATTGTGTTTTTAACCACGCAGTTATCTTCAAGAATTCATTTGAATGCCTTTCCGATTGACATTTTAGCTGAAATTTTGTATGAGTAAACTAGACTTAATGAATAATATGCTCAAAAAATTGCATCAAAAATTTCCATCGGGAACCGCCTCAAATGATGACGGCCAGACATAGCCTCCTATATAAGGGCTTATTTGACCTTTTTTTGTTAGTACGTGGGCTTATTTGCCACTTTTCCTAAAAAATATAATTTTATTTATAATAAAAATGTAAAAAAACAAGAAATAAAAATTATTTAAAATTAATAAAAACAAAAAATTGAAAAACAAAAATTTATAAAATAAAAAAAAATTTAAAAAAATAATGTAAAACATTTTAAAAAAATATGTAGGCCTATGATGCTGCCTCAGTAACCTCCCGGCACCACCAACTTCGATAACCCGAAAAAATTCAAACATGTGTCAGGAATGCCATCTTGAAGACGGGTTTCGAGAAAATTTTGACATTTTCAAGAGTGAAAATTTCATCTTCACGGCATTTTGATAGACAAAATAATACTTTTTACACAAAATGGCATTTTTTTGCCGATCAGAGATAAAGTTGTTGTGCAGTAGCCGGAACTATGGGAAATGCCTCCATACTTTGTTTATATTTTTTAAGGTGTTTTATCTAAATTTTATTTATTTTTAAAGTTTTTAAAAAAATTAAAAAATGATTTTTTTTATAATTTTTATGATTTTTTTCGTATTTTTTAAAAATATTTTAGAATCTTTTTATATTTTTTACGATTTTTTGTATAAGTTAAATTATTTTTTAATATTTTTTAATTTGTTAGAAATTAAAATATGATTATCCTATTAAGTTCTGGTTAGAGTAGAATAGGAAGATAAAGTATACTTTAATCCTATTTTGGGAAGATAAATAACATAATTCTATTTGTGCATTTAGGGATTAATTTATTCCTATTTAGGGCTATTATCTCTATTTTTAATTCAACATTATATGAGCAAATTCTTTATTAAAAAATCTTTCATATAAGTATAAAATTTATAAATTACACAAAAATTTAATCTCTAATATCATTGTCTAAACTTTAACACCATTGACCAAGAAAAGACAAATTGACCAATCTTTTTGGGACGGAGGTAGTATTACATAATACTTTTAATATTAAAATAAGGAGTAATTATTTATGACATAAAATTTACTTATCTGTATAAAACATATTGATTAAAAGGAATTTCCCAAAACACAAGTAAAAACGATTGTGGACTCCAAAATATGACTACCATCTTTTTTACATTAGCAAACCTTTTTTTAGCAAAAGTTAATTTAATTCATATTATCAAAGGGTACACTAGGATGAGACTCAGAGTTGTAATCACACATAAGAGCGGCCTAATTCTTATGCATGAGAATGGCCGAACCCTAGTGGTGGATCCTTAGCAACGAAAACAGGTGGGATGCATAGCTTATTTCGATCGATCAATTGCGGAAAGGGTTTCAATCGCGTTTGTTGAGGGCTCTCCAGCAAGTTTCTGGTATTATGTTTTCGTTTTTGTTTTAGATTTTATTGGCTTACGGGCTTTGGTTTCCGTCATTTTTGTCCGGCTGAGTTCTGCTCTGGCTCGGGGTTTGTCCGGTTGGGTTTTCTCTGACCCAGTGTTTCGTCTGTTCCAATTGTGAACGTGTTTGGGTTGTTAATCGTGAGTCTCGCTGCTTCTTTCTCACTGCCTCAAATGTGGCAATCGTTTTGTTGGCCATTATTGGAGAGCTTAAATCAGGCTTATGAAAGGAGGTCACTCGAGGAGGTTGATGACGAGGACACAGAAAATGGCATGGTGGTGGTGTTCCCAAAATAGCACCGCCTAAAATACTGACAAGTCCCGCACACGAGATGATTTCTTTGGAGGTGCTTAATATACCTCTTCTCACTTCATGGTGGCCTTTTTGTACTAGTGTGTCTTCCAATTTTACATTAATTATAGGAAAAAATTTCAAAATAGGAGTAAAAACATTTCAGAATTCTAAAAAAGGACTTTCATGTTATGATTCTAAATAGGAGTAATTAATGCCAAATTCGGAAAATATTGTTGTTTTTAAAGTCTGGTAATGTCTAACTCGCTAACCCCGCAATGTGGTAGACTCCACTAACAACAATGTTGCACCTGCTAAATAAAAGTAACAACATAAATCAATGACACTATTTTTACGTCACAGAAAGCTTCCGGGACACTTATCTTTCGTCGCAGAAGGTGGGAAATGGTGACACTAAGTTTAGTGTCACAGGTGAATGTCACCAAATTATGACGCTTAAGAATGTTTTTACTTGGACTGCTTTCAGTCTCAGATCAGAGCAGACCAGACTTGAATAGAGCAGATCAGACTTAAACAGACCAGAGCAGACCAGACTTGACTTCCGCAGTTATAAAATACACATAAACCATATGTTTACCAGACCAGACCAGACTTAAACAAACCAGATCAGACCAGACTTAAGAAGATCAGACCATCAAATTATAGTTCAAGTAAAAACATCTAAGTGTCATTAGATATTTTGACTCATATGTATCGTAATTACTTGTGATACTGTGACGAAACAAACAATTCTGATACATTAGTATCATATAAAAAATTATGCTAAGAAATGGACATAATTTGTAACACCGGTATCATATCATTCATATTTTTATTATCCTGGCATGTTAACTCTAAGCATGTTTGAATACATATACAACTATACAAGTCATTCAAGACATACACCAAAGACACAAAATATTACTCCCCGTCCCTCTGTTATATATCTATATATCATAGAGTCTTCAATCACACAAAAAAAACTCATCCACAAGTAGCAGTATATATCCTTACAATGTACTTTCAAATTCATCATCAAACAACATAACATGTGTGTTTTACCAAAATACAAAACCATGATAATACAATCCAGCACTTCTAGCTAGGACTGGAAATTTGAACCGAAAAACCGAAAAACCGAAAACCGACCCGAAAAAACCGAACCGCCAAAGATAAAAACTGAACCGAATCGAAAAAAATTGGGACCCGAAAATTGGGACCCGGAAATTGGGACCTGAAGTCTACCTCGGTTCGGTACCGGTTTCTTATATGCTAAAAGTCGGTTGAACCAAACCGATATTATATATTATTTATAAAAATCATTATTTTTTTTATATAAATTTTCAAAAACCCAAGTCCTCTATTTTAAATAGATCATTTGGCCCAACTGCCCCATTCCATTAGGCTAGGAAAATAATTGAAATTAGGTAATCCTCATTCGGTCATTCCTCATTCCCATTAATTTTTTTATTTTATGATATAATGTAATGTAATATATATATATATATATATATATATATATATATATATATATAATCGATTAATATACATAATGTGGTAAGTATACACTAGTATGATCGGAATAGTATGATTTAAAGTATAATGTCGAGTATTCTGAAAATCATAAATATTACAGAGTATTATTGTTAACATGTCTAAATTCCATTTATGAAATTGATATTTTTAATTTTTTACAGAACTGTGTAATTTTGATCTACATCTATTTATATATAAGAAAACAAATAACTCATCTAAAGACAATTTTAACCTTAATGAAGCCTATGTGTCTTTTTACCCACATTTTTCTCCTCTCACTCCTTAATGCCACATGGCATTTTTTGTTAAGCA